GTGCTTGGCCTCCCTCCTAGTGAAAAAGTTTTTCCTAATATCCAACCTAAACCTCCCCCACTGCAACTTGAGACCATTACTCCTTGTTCTGTCATCTGCTACCACTGAGAACAGTCTAGATCCATCCTCTTTGGAACCCCCTTTCAGGTAGTTGAAGGCTGCTATCAAATCCCCCCTCATTCTTCTCTTCTGCAGACTAAACAATCCCAGTTCCCTCAGCCTCTCCTCATAAGTCATGTGCTCCAGACCCCTAATCATTTTTGTTGCCCTTCGCTGGACTCTTTCCAATTTTTCCACATCCTGCTTGTAGTGTGGGGCCCAAAACTGGACCCTGTACTCCAGATGAGGCCTCACCAACGCCGAATAGAGGGGAATGGTCACGTCCCTTGATCTGCTGGCAATGCCCCTACTTATACAGCCCAAAATGCCGTTAGCCTTCTTGGCAACAAGAGCACACTGTTGACTCATATCCAGCTTCTCATCCACTGTAACCCCTAGGTCCTTTTCTGCAGAACTGCTGCCTAGCCATAGGTCCCTAGTCTGTAGCAGTGCATGGGATTCTTCCGTCCTAAGTGCAGGACTCTGCACTTGTCCCTGTTGAACCTCATCAGGTTCTCCCCCAGGCGTGCACACACAGTGACCGTGGCCCCCAAAAGGCTGGAAATGAGTTTCCCTCACGGTGTTCAGGGGTCCCGCCCTGCTCATGTTGCTTCCCCCTTTGTATTCCCCACCTCCCCCGTCACCACAGCCCTGAGCTACATGCTGGCTTTGTACCCGGATCGCTATGGCAGGTGGGGGGATTTTTTTACTGATATCCGTATACCGGTACAAGCCCTCGTATGGGTGCAGTTCTACTGGTGAACGGGTGACTTGTACCGGTGAACAGAGGCCTTGTACCGTGCAGGCTGCTGGCCTGTCCCTATGGCCCATGATGGGCTCCCTGCCACACCCAGAGTCTATCTCCAGTTTTATTCTCCAGACACACGGTTCTCGGGGGCTTTTCCTCTTTGCCCCCTCAGTTCGTGCTACCCTCCTCCTGAACCTGCCCCAGGCCGTCGGCCTGGACGTTACCCTTCTCCGGGGCCTGTCAGAGGAGCCAGTTGCTCCTGCTAACGGAGCGCTCTCACCTTCGGGAGGGCAGCCCAGGACCCTTTCCCCGCCAGGCCTAATCATGGAACTGGGCCAGCCGACCCCCAGCCGATGGGGCCAGCTGGGAGGGTAGCCAGTCTGTCGAAGACAAGGCTGGGCCTGACTCCCCTTAAAGGGCCACGCTGGCCTAGCTTATTCCCCATTAGCTATCCTGGTCTAGGGCAGTTTTCCCCTTTATGCTGGCGTCACAGGTTCAGCCACTCCCCAGGGTAGCTGCTCCGCTCCAGGGGCCTCTGCACGAGCCGCTGACCGGGGCAGAGCCTCTGTTGTTGGCCCTAGATCACCCCCTCCTTTGAGACAATGCTGAAGCAGAGAGCAGCGAGCAGGAGGAAGAAGAAAAGCGAGGACAAGGGGTACGGCCGGACTCGGCCGCGGAGGAGCACGGCCCCCTCGCCCAGCTATCCCAAGCAGCACTTCTCCCAGGCGCCCAGGTACCGAATGGCAGGCGTCCGGCGTCCCTCCTGGAGCAGGAGATGCTCGCTCCCTCTCTGTGCCCGGCGTGAAGCGTCTCTGGCCAGCCCACGGCCTGTTCCTGGGCGGGCTGAGCTGGAGCGTCCCGTGAGAGGTCGGGGGGGTAGCCCAGGGAAATGAGAGGGGGCCCAGGGCCAGTGGTTCAAAGGCCAGCAACCAGCCGGCTCAGATGCCGTGGTATTGGGGGACAGAGTCAGAGAGAGCACCCACGGCCGTTTGCTGGCCTCTCTGCGCTGCGGGGCTTGGTCCTGCCCCCATGCCGTGGGGAAACTCCCAGCGGTGCCGAATGGAACCCTGCATTGGCGAGTCCCCGTCCAGATGGGTATCCACATATCTCCCTGCCCCTTGGCCTGTTTGTGGCTGTGGAGCGGGAATTCCTGGCGGTCTCCTTCCCGCCCGATCTCTTTGGCAGCAGTCACCGCTGGCAGAGCACGGAGCGAGGCGGTTCAGTGGGATGCTGCTGCCTGTGATGGGCTTGTCCCCGCCCGGCTGTGAGCCTTTTGCAGTGACAC